AAAAAAATTTTAATTATAGAATTCAAATAAACTGATTGCAAACAAGGGATAAAGATAGTGAATGTCAATCCCAAAATATATATTAATTGAATTGAAGAATATTTTGGTAGACCGTCTCTATAATTTTTTGTCTTAAGTTATCGCCCTTGTAAAATTAAGTGATATAATTTTTTTTGCATAAATGGTCAATTCTGATAAATTTACTTAAAATAAAAAGATCAAGAAAAGACATTTTATAATTTTATTTTACAATAACGAAAGAATATTCTCTTTATTATGGAAAAAGAATTATATCTTTAATTTTTAATTGTAAACGATTATGAAAATCGATGTATAATGCATATAAATAGTTTATTTCACACGAGATCGAAGTAACTTAGTCAGAAGGACAAAATCAGAAAAAAAAGAAAGAAAGAAAGAGAGAGTGAGAATGTGGGGAGACAGAGAGAAAGACACAATGGGAGGGGAGGAGGAGTGAGACGGAGAGATATAGTGAGGGAGAGAAAAGAGGGTGAGAGTGGGCGGTTACTACCTCCCATTCTATCTGAACACCTTCTGTCTACTCTCCTTCTCTCTCCTAATCACAATTAGCCTCCTACTATCTCTCTCGCTGTCTTTGAGAAAGAGTGTGGGGTAGAAAGTAGATCCTCTCTTTCCCCACTCCCACTCTTTCTCCCCACTCTTATTCTATCATTTCCTACTCTCCCCAGGCAGAGTAGGGAAATATGGAGTAAGAGTGGGGATAGAGAAAGGGGGAGTGAGAGTGGAGAGGGAGGGAGTGGAGAGGGAGGGAGTGAGAGTGGAGGGAGTGGGGGGGAGAGAGTGGAGAGAGAGGAAGTGTGAGTGGATAGAGAATGGAGTGTGGAGGGAGTGGGGAGAGAGGGAGTGAGAGTGGGGGAGAGAGAGGGAGTGGAGAGAGAGTGAGTGGGGGAAAGAGAGCGAGTGGGGAGAGAGGAGTGGGGAGAGAGGAGTGAGAGTGGAGAGAGTGGGGAGTGAATGTGTGGAGAGAGTGATAGTGGGAAAAAAAATCAATTGAACGCAATTTTTTATCGAAATGATATCGATATATACAATGTATGATACCTTGATTATCGAACGCCACCACTGACTTATGTATCTATAATTTTTTTTACTATCGGGCAGTGATTGCATTCAATAGTGGACCTAACACCATGGATGAGTTGATATTAAAAAAAAAAACACTTTTCACATATAGTTGTGTCCTTCTGACCTTAGGTACGTAAGATTAGTCTTTATCTATAGCACATCTATACATCACATAATAATCAATCAATCCAACGCAATACTGAGTTATCAAAATATGACTATATATATTTACATCGTGAAAAAATTAAATCTTTTGACTAAATGTCAAAAATAGTTGACGCAATTTAATAGAAAACTGGCGCAATGCAATTTGTAATCAACCTAACGTAATTATGAGTTGAAATGATATTTTATTCAACGTAAAAAGATGTTAACTAGAATGTCATAATGAGATGACATTTTGTACTGTTAGCTTGATGCAAATGTAATGGTAGTATGTGTAAATGTCATAAAGAATTGACATAATGTAATGTTAGGTTGACACAATATTTATGTAATTGTTTCGAATTAAATGTCATGAAAAGTAAACATAACGAAATGCAAGTTGACGAAACATGATTGTAGTGTGTGTAAATGTCATAAAGAGTAGACATATTGTAAAGGAAAGTTGACACGATGCAACAGAAGTGTGGATAAATGTCATAAAGAGTTGACGTAATGTAATGGAAGGTTGACACAATGCAATTGTTGTGTTCTGCAATAGGGCAGTGACGGAGTTCCATAGGAAAGATCTGAGTTCCTCAAGTTGATAGAAAGAAAAACCGATTTTTTAACAGAGTTCCGAAAGGTCATCATTATAAAGAAGAAATCACCGCATATAATACTGTGTCTACATCATTTCGAAATGCAAAATCTACCGCACGGAATGCTAACTGGTCTGCCATAATATTTAACAATCAGCATCATCATTATAACAGCAATACTACACATAAAGATGAATATACTGTATAACTATGCAATTGCTAAGTATATAAGTCTTGGAAATAAATGTTGAAAAAAAATTTATAGTTATGATGAGCAATGGTGCCTCTTTAAAAATTGTAAGCATCTAGCTTTTAAAAACATGAAGCAAATTCAATCACTTGAAAGTTGTTGCATGATGCTCAGGTGACCTATACGGCCCATGTTGTGGGATATATCTCTATTGATAAACTCATAGTGCTTCCGTCAATGCCGCAATCTTACCGTCACCATATATCGCCAGATGATCTATGGGGTTCCGTGACGATCCGTCTAGAAAACTATGAATAATCATTCCGTCAACGCCTTTTTCCACCGTATAGTAAATCCGTACTAAGACAGCGTCTTCCATGTATTGCAACTGGTACAACATAGTTTTTCCGCAAAGCTAATAGGTACCAAAACATAATATACCCGTACTCACCCCAACCTTAAGGATAAATAACTCAAACTTTTTAGGTCACCTAAGTAAACTCAGTAGATTCTCTCGACCCACGAAACCAATTTCAACGAAATTAGGTATACAGCATCTATGGGTGATGGGGAACAAAAATTTTGAATTGCATGGTCCCTGCCCCCCTGGGGCCTGAGGGGTGGGTCCAAAACCACTTAAATTGATGCAGTCTTTAAAAATCTTCTTCTTTACTCATGGACATCATGCAGTCAAACTGTTGACATGATTGTAATCAGCATTGAGTCCTCTACCAAAATTGTGAAAATTATGGCCTCTGGGTCAGGGGTACTGGTGTTAGGGCGGGGCTATATATATCATATAGTAAAAGTGCATTATTTCATTGAAAATCTTTTCTGCTCCTGGGAATTAAATAAACTAACTAAGTACATAATTATGATGACCAAGAGTGCCTCTTCAAAAATTGTGAATTTCATGACCCCTGGGTCAGGGGTTCTGGTGTTAGGGCGGGGCTCTATTGATTGTATAGTAAAAAAAAACATTAATTCTTTGAAAATCTTCTCCTCTGCTCCTCGGTATTAAACAAGCTAACTAAGTACATTGTTATGATTAACAAGAGTGCATCCTCCAAAATTGTGAATTTTATGGCCCCAGGGTCAGGGGTCTGGTGTAAGGGCGGCGCTCTATTGATTATATAGTGAAAATGCATTAATTCTTCTAAAATCTTCTTCTTTGCCCTTGGGTATTAAAGCAATAATCTATGTACATACAGTAGTTATGATGAGTAAAGATACCTCTTTCAAAGTGAATTTCATGACCCCTGGTTTAGGGATTTTGGTGTAAGGAGGGAACTCTTAAGCTTTCGATTATATAGTGAAAATGCATGAATTCTTTAAAAATCTTCTTCTTTTCTCCTGGGTATTAAACAAACTAAGTAAGTATATAGTTATGATGGGCAAGAATGTTTTTTCTAAAGTTTAGAATTTTGTGGCCCCTGGGTTGGGGGTTGTGATGTTAGGGCGAGGCTTTATTGATTACATAGTGAAAAATACATAATTGTTTGTTCAAAAATCTTTTTATCTGCTTCTGTGTATTAAACCAATTAACTATGTATATGTACATAGTTATGATGAGGAATGATGCCTCTTTCAAAACTGAATTTTATGGCCCCTAGGTCAGTGGTTCAGGTGTTAGCGCGGGGCTCTAATGATTATATTTAGTGAAAATGCATGAATTCTTTGAAAATCTTCTCCATTGCTCCTAGGTATTATGCCAATGATCTTAGTATATATATTTATGAAGAAGAAAGGTGCATCTAGCAAAATGATTAATTTCATGTTCTCTGAGTCAGGGGTATCGGGGGGGGGGGGGTTAGGGGTTAACAGTACATAGTCTGAAGATATATGTGGCCCCAGGGTCAGTGGTCCCTGTGGGATGGGGTGTACGACTGGTTATAAAATGAAAATGCATTTTCTCTTTCTTACTTTGATCTAATTCTGGGTATTAAGTAACTAGAGTAAGTATTCTAAGTGTATAATAATGATAATTGTGAATTTTATGGCATATGGTTTAAAACACGAACTAATGTCAATTTTTGGAAAGTTGTTTCATGGTACTCAGGTGACCTGTAATGCCCTCGGGCCTCTTGTTTTCAGAAATCAGCTATATTTCTCATAAATTTACATTTAAATTGGTAACCTGAATAATGTTTACCAAGTTTATTTTGATGATTTTATAATTATGGTTTTGTCATAAGGTTAAAAAACTGTGCCAAATTTTGTATAGAATTATAAGGAAAGCAAAACAAAGTCTAATATCTATAGAAAAACACAAAAGAAAACCTACGATTTTTTTTATATTTCAGGAATTTATTGTTCATGTCATTTCAGACCAAATTCAGTCAAAAAATATTATCAATCCATGCATCATTTTTTTGTTTGTGTTAAGTACCCTTAAGCAGACTATAAAGGAATTACACATCTTAAATACTCATTAATGATAAACATTTTTCCAGTGCATTTTCTCTGAAATCTTTGTATTTAGTTTTATTATATTATTGGTTTAAAAACAGTTGTTTGCGATTAAAATATGTAACATCCAATGTGTATATAAAAAAAACATTTATTTCGTGCATGAAAAACACATTTAGCGTAATTCAAAATGTGATATTTCCTCTCAATATTTTACCTGTTGATATCAGTTTAGTACAAGATTTTACAATTGGAACGATTTTACCTTTTTTTTAAACCATAAACATGATTTTTAAATCAAAATTTTCAGTGCCTTACGAAGTTTTGAATTTAAAATCAAATACCGGTATTCAGTGTCTTACGATATTGTTTTGTCCATTATTTTCTTTAAGCCATTAACAATTCAAGTCAATGTCTTTTTCACAAATAAAAATGTATGTTTATCTGCCAAATATCAATTTGAGAAACAAATGCTTACAAAGAAGGAGAAAAGAATATTTAGCCACATTTGCACGATTCGCTGATAAAAAGAGTAAAAAAATCGATTTCAGACTCTCCTAAGGTTGTCCTTGTTGGAGGAAACAGTACAAAGACTGGTTTGATAGAGTTAACAATAGAGGGAGAAAGAGGATACATTCCTCCTGTAGGTCAAAACGAAGCCAAGGTTATTTGTCGACAACTTGGATATACAACGTAAGACGAACGTCAAATACGTGACATTTTCTAAATGATCCAATTTCTGTAAAATTACAATTTAGATTTTGACATATTGTAGTATATATGGCTGCATTCTGTTGTATCATATTGCTTATTAATTCCTTTATCTAATGTTAATGTTACAAACAAAATATTTATAATGAACATTTGATTTGAACTGAAAGAAATGAACTTAGAGAATGACAGGACGTAAGTATTTTTGCTATTTTTCAGAAATGTAGCTTACTTTGAGGGATCTAAAGCATTTCCCTCCAAGTATGCTCGTCGCTGGGCATCCTCAATTTCCTGTACTGGTACAGAAGAAAGTGTTTTTGATTGTTCTTTGATTATCGATGGAACATTCAAAACGGAACAATATGCTTATCTTTCCTGTGAAGGCAAGAACTATTTGTTTTATTTTATGACGTTATTACTTTCAAATTAGGACTGTTTTGAAATGTTCAGCATAAGCATCTCTTACATAACCTCTAATATTCAATGATGGATCATTAAGATTGCTCATTTAAATGGTTTGAAGATGTGTTTTGTTCTTAAATGATATGTGTACTGATAAGAAAAAAGAGTAGTAGTCAATTTGTATTTAATTCTTTTTCAGACTCCTTCACACTCAGTGTTATAAATGGTCTTGCTCAACACCAAGGGACGCTTCGCCTATCACTTGGAAATTTACAAGGTTATATTCACCAGGAGAATTCTAATCACTGGAAAAGACAGGAGGCAACAGTTGCTTGTCGGCAACTTGGATTCCCTACGTAATGAAGATTCCCTCTAAGGGTTTCTTTTTAGTTTTTGATCTATTAAAAAGGCGTAAACACTCCTAGCTTCCACTTTTTGCTATGTATTTTAAACTATCATACAATATCAACTTTTCTCATTAAAACTGATACTGATATTCATATTAGTCAATAACGATATGTTAAGGGAATATAATTCAATACTAAAAAATAAATTTGCATAAAACATACATATTTCGAAATATATATTGGCCCTATTGTTGCCATATCAAAAGTGGTGCATGTTTATAAACGTTTGTAAACAACAATGGCAGCATTTGACTTATCACCTTAATGAACTTTTATTTCAAATAATGTTAAATATATAACTTGAATCTTTTGTCTTTATTGCCAGATTTAAAGCCTTCGCTTATAATCATTTTGGACGTAAAACAGGATGGAGGCTGATTAGTTCTGTTTCATGTCTTGGAAATGAGAGGGTTTTAGGACAGTGCGCAATGAATTATGGACAGGGAGAAATGATATCAACCGAGTTCCAAGGAGTCATATGCACAGGTAACAAGTAAAATATATATACCGGAATTGAAATGGTATCCTACTTAAACAATTTGGAAAATTCTGTAAGCATACGGACTTGTTAGGTTTTCCAATTTGCAACAAAGCAGTCTTGAGTAAAGAGAATATTTTAAAGGATGATAAAGTAGAGATGCACTGTGGCTGTAAGGACACACATTAGATACAATATTTAGTGCTCAATCAAGTTACTTCAAATAAAACTTTGAAAAGGGAAGGTTTTGGTATAATATGGAGGTAAAGGTATAACATTGCCATATGTAAGAGAAAATTTTAAAGCTATATATGGCGTATGTACAATGAAAATTATTAGACTAAAATTATAAGAACTTATTATTTGTATCGACTACTTTATATAAAGATATAACTTTTCCGTAAATTACAAAATCTAAGTCAATTGCGTTATAAAGATATCACAATTTAATTTGGATTCTCGGAATTTTCTCCGACTCGGAAGAAAATACAAAAGATTTAAATAACACGTTACAGAGAAGATAAATTCGTATTATTCGATGAAACGAGGTGTTTTCCGTGTTCCGAATTGTACGAAAAGCTTTAATTTAAATGTACTAACTATATTTCTTTACTTAATTTTGTATTTTTGAAAAATATATTTTTGATCAGTTACGCCATATATGGCTTTAAAGAAATCTTGTAATCAGAAGGATTTGATACTAGTAAATTAATAACCGTACATCATTATATAGTAAAATTTTAATTAAGTCATGGTCCCTGTTTCAAGGGTATGACGTAGATGGAGTTCATGTTTGATATCGGTATATGCAGAATAAGATATCAAAATCTTAACAACAACCGAAATGTACGAAAGGAAATTAAAAACATATATTTTTTTTAAATTATGAGCAGCTTTATAATAGAATTATCATACCCCATGCAACAAGTTGCGTGAGGTATAATGTTTTTGACCCGTCAGTCAGTCCGTCAGTCCTGTTTTTTTTTTTATCAGCGCAGCTCCTCATAAACCGCTGAACAGAATTTTGTCAAACTTCGCAGTTATTTAGAACACAATGTGTAGATGTGCATATTAGAAGGAAATTTCGATTCCTTTATTTTTCCGAGAATTTTCGCACTTTTCAACTTAGATTTTTGCCATACCTTGAATATAGAGATGAACAGTTTGTCAGCGCAACTCCTCATAAACCGCTGCACAGAATTTCGTTAAACTTTGCAGTTATGTAGGACACAATCTGTAGATGTGTATATCACCAGGAAATTCCGATTCCTTTATATTTCCGGGAATTTCCGCACTTTTCAACTTAGATTTTTGGCCATACCTTGAATATAGAGATGAACAGTTTGTCAACGCAACTCCTCATAAACCCCTGCACAGAATTTCTTTAAACTTTGCAGTTATGTAGGACACAATCTTTAGATGTGTATATTACCAGGAAATTCCGATTCCTTCATATTTCCGGGAATTTCCGCACTTTTCAACTTAGATTTTTGGCCATACCTTGAATATAGAGATGAACAGTTTGTCAGCGCAACTCCTCATAAACCGCTGCACAGAATTTCGTCAAACTTTGCAGTTATTTTGGACTCAACGTGTAGATGTGCATATTACCCGAAAATTCTAATTTCTTTATTTTTTCCGGGAAATTCCACACTTTTCAACTTAGATTTCTGTCCATACCTTGAATAAAGAGGGATTTCGTCAAACTTTGCGGGTATTAAAGACACAGTTTGTGTGTGCATTAGATGTGCATATTACCAGGAAATTGGGATTCCTTTTATAATTTTGCCTGCAATTTCAGCACTTCGAGTTTGGGTGGAGCGTGGGGTATGTAAGCTTGCTCACCTTTTCTTTCATTATCATTTGATAAGATTATGACGTACCTTAAACCATTCATAATTTTTTGTCATAAAAATGAATAGAAAAAAGTTTTAAAAGATTTCTTCATGATTAAAAGAATTAATACATTTATTTATTATTATAATAAATACAGGTATGGACGACTATGCAGTCCGTTTATCAGATGGTCAGTACGACAGAGGTCGAGTAGAAATATCAATAGGAGGAACCTGGGGAAGTGTGTCATCCTCCAGCGTCTGGTCATCTGGCAAAAACGCTCAAGTTATCTGTACCCAACTGGGATTTCATTCGTAAGTATTATCAAACTGACTAAATTTTTATGTAATAAAAGCACTTGTTACTTACAAAAGCTTATTAAAAATCAGGGTCGGCAGACTGAGAATTTTAAATAAAAAAAATGTAAAAATGAAGAATACAGAAAGTGTAATGTAATACTTCTTCATATTATTACAGTAAATGTTTGAATTTTTAAAAATAATTAAAGTTTCAGAAATGAAATCCTATGTCTCTGAATGTTTTATTGTAATTTACGATTTCCTGTAAGTACTTGCCCTTTGCTTAATCAAAAGCGATCCTTTTCATTTTTAGCGGAGTAGCCATCACCAATGGAACATACCTTCGCGGATTAGGTCCGGTCTGGATTAGAGATTTAAATTGTGCTGGCCATGAGAGATCAATACGTGACTGTTCCTTTACAATTAATGGAACAGATTTATATTCCAGATCATCTACACCTGATGTCGGCGTCATTTGTCTCAATCAAAGGTTTACACGTAAGTCCCTCATTCACCAAAATTCTTAACACCTAAGTCCCTCATTAACTTAAAAAAGAACAAGATAGGGTAAGACCCCTTTTTGGCCCATGGTTTTTGGTGTCTTTCAGAATGATGCAACAGTTTATCCATTATAACCTGTTGTCAACCCCTGCAACAAAAAGAGCATTGGTTCTAAGTTTTGGAATACACAGAGGGGTCAGAAAAAAGGTCAATTTTCGAATTTTCTCATTTTTATGCGAATTTTCATCGATTTACATCACATTTTGTTTCGGAAAACATGGAGCACAAGCTTGCCTATCTGCCAAATTTATTTATTTCATACACTAGCATTAGACGATTCTTGTGTATAAAAATGTCAGATAGGCACGCGTGTGCTTTATGTTTTCCGAAGAGAAATATTTCTCAAAAATAATCCCATCAAAATTGAGGAAATTCGGGAAAACGTTCTACTTTTGCACCCTCTATATAGTTGCTTCCATGTAAGTTTCGAATCAAAATTAGTGCTGGTTTTAGAGCAAGCATAATTTTAAGTTCTTAACTACAAACTTTCAAATTTTACCAGTGTTCTGATTTTTACATCAATTATGGGGCCAGATTCGACCGTTACCCTACCTTGTCCTTTACACGTTTAGTGTCAAGTTGCAGACCTCCAAGGGCAAATGGTGGCGGTGCAATATGAGGGAGATATTTTCGGAGCCACAAATTAACTAAATTTTGCTGTGATTGAGTTGGCCTTGCGAACATTGTGAACTGATGGAACATCTTTTGGAAAACAGGCATAATAATTAAAAGATAATTTAAGTAAATAGTACAATGATATTAAAGCAGTTTTCTTTTTTTTTTTCAAGTATAATACGAATATTTGTTAACATTGAGGATAGTTCAATGTGTGACATAATCAGTTTCAGGCTTTTGTCTATATGTATAAAGTACTGATTAAAATATTTCTCAGGTGTTAAAAGTCAGAATAAATTTATAAAATATCAAACAATTACAGTTCAGCTTCATATAATTTTAAATTATTAGATCTTTTGAGGCATGCATGTGGGCAAAACTAAAACAAATAAAGATTTATTTCATCTGTAGAAAAAGATGGTTTAGTGCTTCTCATTAGTATTAGTGAAAATACTTCAAAATGTAAATTTAAGGTAAGTCACTCCTGAAATTTGTTATATCAAGGATTTTTTGAGAAGTATATTTTGGATAAGTACTCATAAAGTGTAACTCAAAATCGCAAAGAAAATAGGGAGTCAGTGTGCATCCTACTGATCTACGGTACATTTAAGTTGACCTTTTTGCACTTAAATTTCATCTCTTTGGTTAATTACTTTAACCCTTATTATATTTGATTAGATGTAAGCATGGCAATAAATATAACCTTATTTTACGTAAAATAGTTTGAATAATATTTATCATTAAACAAATCTTGCAAATTAATGCGCGTAAATTATTGTGTGACCTTTTTGCACTAAAAAATAACATAATTTGGGTATTAAAAAACTTAATAGGCAATAAAAAATTTTCTTATATCAAACTTTTTACGACTTGAGTGCTGATCAGTCACAAGTATCGAGTAGTTTAAAATAATGAAAGAAAAAGGTGGGGTCAGTGATGTTAATTTTGAAATATTTGTCAAAATATGTGATTTTCAGGCAAAAAATGGTGTAACTTTGACCTTGACTTCTTTAATATATTTTCATTTTTTGGAAAAGTTTGTTGAGGGAAGGTGTAAAACTTAGTCTAAAAATATAAATTAAGACCTATATTAAATATTTTTAGCAATATCAAAACGGAAAATATTCTCCGAGTAAAAGTATGTGAGGCTAAATTTCCATTACATTAAATTTTATAAATGTGCAGATTTGCAGAATTTTCTGCTAAATATCCTTCCACCAAAAGAAATAGTCCCTCATAAATCTTGCTTCTTTGTAGATTTTTGAGCAGTTTTTTCATTGAATGTTAAAAAATTTACATTGTTGAATTCAAATATGTTATAAAAATTGAATTTTGATAAGTAGTTTTGAAGGAAAAGCTTCTGCGTGAACTTTTCTAAAAAGCTGACGAGTGACTTACCTTAAAGTATTTTTCTCACTTTTACCTTATTTTCAGTGCCTGTAAAATGTAAGAAAGTAAATTGTAAGCCTCAAACTAATCATTGTGTCAGCTATGTTCAATATCTCATCCGAACTAACATGTTTCGAATCGTCTATTTTGATATCTGAAATAATAAACGGTTCGACTTACGAGGGTTATCCAAAAGTAATGTTTCAACATTGATAAAATTGCTATAAATCGACGTGAAGCAACAGAATTATACATGATGGAAGCTTTATTTATTTCAAATCAGACCTAAAAAATCAAAAGGAATATGATGTATACTTTCCAAACTATCGGATTTTAAACATTGTGCGTTTATGGTAGTCGCCACACCTAAATATAACGTCATATGACGGACATGCATCGTCATACTTTTAAAAGCGTTAACCTTCGTTTCATTAAAAAATATTTGTCAGGGGCGTAGCATCCGGGGGGGGGGGCTGCCCCCTTTTTTCCCAACCTTACTCACACTATAAGGAATGTTATTTGAAAGCCTAAGTATAAGAATTGGTACTAAAAGTAGTTGACAACGAGAAAAAGTTAACCTAACCCCCCCCCACCCCCCCAATGAAATAGTATTTTCGACTTTGGGCAACTTCCCCCCCCCCCCTTTTTTTTTGCTTGTCAACTTTTTCAGGTAAGTAAAAAAAAACTTTTTCTCTGCCCCCCCCCCCTTTCAAAAACGATGCTACGCCACTTTTTGTGATTCGCAAATCCTTTAACCAATTCCACTTTCTTTAAGAATTCTTTGTACCATTATAAACTCGCTCTTTCCATAATTAAGCCTCCTGTCAAATTTTTAAACTTTAGCATAAGACAGACTTAAAAATTCACATGTATCTCTATACGTCTGTCTTCTTTGACAACATCAGACACCTTTGCACGTTTCCGATCGATCTCCTATCCCTCGGTCTCCTATCCCTCGGTCTTCTTGTTCTCTGCTTATCATTCAGTGACCAATCTCTCGCCCAAAATTGCTGAAACCATCTATTAAGATGTCTCTTACATTCTTATTCTTTAAGTCTCATTAGCTAATGTAACTGTCGCTTGTGATGATTCCCTTATTTTGAAGCAAAAACTTTTATCCATATTGATGTTACAACTCGTCGAGCCGTTTTCCCCCCCATTTCGACAATCCCTTTGTTCAATTCAACAGAGTTAAACAACAATGTTTATGATCACAAATACCAATGCCGTCATTTAATTTTCAATTAAAGACTAGAAATTGTGATTTTTAAAAATTAGAAGATAAGGTGCTTTTTTAGAATCTTTTTAATGTGTTTGTCTTTTTATTCTAAGAAAAAATATACTTGAAAACGTGACGTTCCGTTGTGACGCGGCGACACCCCTTATGCCCTATGTTTTAATCATCTAGAAAATAAATTCAAATAAACATTATTAAATCAAAATTTCAATGTTAAATTTAAATTTATATTTGTGCAAATTTTGGTATATTGTATTTGATAATATGACGCAAAATATAAAAGATATGGACCTGTGACATTACTTTTGGATCAACCCTCGTATAAATACAACTTAATTCTCTATTTTGTACCAGAGGTGACTTCATCTACGAAAATTTTGAAGTCGTCACAAACTTCACAAGAAAATGTTCCAACTACAGAAAATGTATTGAAACCAAATAATACAACAGAAGGAAATGAGGAGACATCAGATGAAACAGACAAAGAAGAGGAGATTACCAGTGATAATACGGGATTGTTTGTGGGCATCTCTGTGGCAGCTCTCTCTGTCGTCTTTTTCATTGTTCTAGTTATATGCTGGAAATTGAGAAGTACAGATAAAAAAGGTAAAAATGATTTGATTTTATTGTATTAAGTATTCAAAGGAAAGGGTAAAGTCACTATTTATGCAATAACGACTAGCACTCCAGTCCTTGTAAAAGTTACTAGTATTTCAACTTTACCTTCTTCAACTTTGCTTTATTTATGTAGTGTTATCCCATTATCACCTGCAAGTGGTGTTTACATCTCCTTAATTATTTGATACTCTTATAAGGGCATGCCACGAGTACAATCAATTTTTCTAATCAAGACAGGCTAATGATAGATAAGTTGATCTTCCAGGTACTCTGAAGTTGCCAATCTTTAAATAATGCCCTTATGCACATGTAACCTATCATTGGGTAGTATCTTGGCTAACCTACTTTATACCGATTGTTAGGCCTTGATTTTTATGCCGAATTGAGGATGCTTACACCTCCTCGCTCGGCATCTGATGGAGTTTTGCATTGTTAGTGGATTTTTTTTTTACATTGATTACTGTTTTTTAATTTCTAAACTATAACTACAGAGGAAAATATTTAGTCCTATATTATTTTCTATACTACTCATGTACTATTACGCATAAACGTAAATTTAACTTAATTTCTTTTCTGTTTCTTTTTAAAATTATACATTAGATGCCAGTTTGAGTACCGATGTTCGAAAGAAAAGGTGAGTACAGTTTTTTTAGCTTGAAAATATAAACATACCAAGCAAATAAACCTCATTTAATATTTTTTTCACTGCCTATTTGTAATGAAAATGAATTCTTAAAAAAAAAAAAATTTAATTTCTCGAGAATAAAGTTCTATAAAAGCTTTACTCTGATTATTCCCGAAAGGACATTAAAGATACACCTACGGCAGTCTAGCTGTTTCAAAAAATCTTTCTTATAATTTCTCATTCGCAGCTCAGCTACAAATAATTGAAATAATTTAAGTAGAAAAATTTGAACACAGTATATAATAATTTTGGGTCTTCATATGGATGAAAGTTGTAATTAGTCGAGTTTTTGGGTAATCTTCTCTCAGATCTTGTCTGCCTTTCTGATTTTTTGCTCTTTGATTTTGTCTGACTTCGGTCGAGTTTTTTTCCCACGTATCCGCCTTGCTCTTCCTGATTTTTGTCAAGTTTCTTATACTCAGATTGAGGGAGAGTTTGTCTCTTTATCTGTGTCTCTCTAACTTCATGTCCGTGTTACAAGAATCTTAATGTGTTTTTTTTTTCAAAATATTTGTGCTAATATTTGTGCTTTAGTGTCATATAAACCTATGATGAAAATTGTGACCTAACTCTGTCTTCAGAGACAATGTTGTTCTCTGATAAAATGACGATGTTTGTTACGAAAGCTCAGAAGGCTCATTCGAGATTCAAGTTTCGAAATACAAGATTCGAAATTCAAGATTCGAAATTCGAGTTTCGAAATTCAAGATCCAAACTAACCAATCAAAAGCGGATTCAACTTTTGATTACTTCCCTTTGTTACGTTTTTATATTTATAAAAATGGATCATTTGGTAAAATGATAATGCAAAAAAAAATGTTTTATGTATTAAAACGAAATAAAAATAAAATTTGGATTAAATTTTGAAAAATACATATATATATATATATATATATATATATATATATATATATATATATATATATATATATATATATATATATATATATATATATATATATGTTATTTTTCTAATTTAACAAAATAGTAAATACGTATATATGGAATATTATATGGTCTTATAGTTGATTTGCTGATTAAGTAGGTTAACCAATTTTATTTCATCAGATCATTGCTGATGGAGAATGTTGCATTTAATTAAAATTAGATATGAATTATTATGAATCGTATCTACACTGCATAATATTTTAAGGGTATATATTTCTTTACATTTATAGAGGGTACATTTGTGCAGTGAGACTTGACTGCTGAAGCGTTATATAAGGTTTTATAAGAGTATATTTTAGTCTTTGGCCATAAAGCTATGGCCAGAGACTAAAATATAACACCATAACGCTATATAGTTCTGCATCTAATTTAGACTCATCTACTATCTGATATAAGATAAAATAAATGCCGCATTTATTTTAATTCATATTGCAAAGCTGTATTGTAGATATAATTTTTAATTAATTCAAGAAATCAAAGCCTTAGATGAAGATAAGTAATTAAATACTTAATTTTCATGTATTTCCTCTATCAGGAAAACGGACGCGATTTTTCTGTATCAATACTACGTCGTCTTTCAAGTTTCAAGTCTTTCAGTGTGTTGGGAAAAATTGGTTGGCGGGGTGGGTAGGGGTGGGGTTATTGTTAACCTTTAGACATTTACCACGTATTCATAACTTTATTTTTATGTCATCAACCCCGTAAACATAGTAGACAATACAAAAATATATATATTCCTGATATATGTATTCTATTTAATATTTAAAAAGCTATAATATAAATTGAAGTGTATCTTGCTGATCAAAAATCCAATGATTATTTTAATTTCCTTCTTATATAAATAACACTCTTTCTTGCATTGTAATTTTATTAAATGACTTATTATACCCCCGCTTGAAAAGCGGGAGGGTATATAGTAATCGTTAATTCCGTCCGTCCGTCTGTCCGTCCGTCTGTTACGCTTTGGGGTACCCATCTCTTATCCGCAACTCCTCTCATACCACTGAATGAAATTTGATGAAACTTTCACAGAATCTTTATTACATATTGCCATTGTGCACTTCCTATTTTACTTTTTGATCCGACACATATTTGGGTTTCCCGGCCACAGCAAAACATGCACTTTGCCATTCTAACTATATGGAGGCGGGGGTATCATTTAGTGAGCTCATCGCTCACAGTACCTCTAGTTTGTTATTTATATATTAAACGATTTCTTGATAGTAAAATCATAATAAAGGGGAGTAATCAAATCTTGAACCCGCTTCTGATTGGTTAATCTGGATCTTGAATCTCGAAATTCGAATTTTGAATCTCGTATTTCGAATCTTGAATCTCGAATGAGCCTTTTGGGAGCTTTTGATTGGTTAATCTGGATCTTGAATCTCGAAATTTGAATTTCGAATCTCGTATTTCGAACCTTGAATCTGGAATGAGCCTTCTGGGCTTTCGTAGTTTGTAGTGTCTGAAATGTGAAAAAAAAAAATAATACTCGGAAAGATGACAAAAAATTACAGTGGAAATATACAAAAAAAGAATAGCAAAGAATTATTTGATTGGTTGATTAAGTAGGTAACGTTCTAAATTTTAGGTTACGTTCGTTTGTCTGACTACTATTACCTTTTTTCTACCTATACTTTTCTAAGACTGGCTCATTTGTTTGGTTCCTATTTGTTTCTCTCAACCTTCGGTCACATTTATCCGTTTGTCTCTCAGATTTTGTCGAAAAATCTCAATGGACTTACTTGAAAGATGAATAACCTTAACGTTTGAGTAATTTAGTTCTTCACAACTACATCGTTTACCTTAGCTAAATGAGAAGATAAACACTTAATTTTAATAATCGAATAATGTATAAACTATTGAAAATTTAAAAGTTTTAGATTTATTTTTCAGTGATACACATAAAGGACAGCAGTCGTCAAATGGTAAATGTTGTCAATTTAATATAAATACATCTCAAAAACACAAACCTCTTTAAACCTTTGACCTATACAAATAAAGGTGATATCTCTTAAAAATAAACATGCTAACATATGCTATAATCTCATTACAGACTTGGAACAAGCTGAGCAGAAGTGAGTATACCAGAGGTTTATAAATTTCTGACTCCTCAAGTAGTATCCAATAAATTTATCTAGATTTAGTTTTTATAACTGTATGGAAGGAGTGGACGGGATGAAGGGTCACATGATCACCATCCCAAATATTTTCATTGCCTTATTGTGAAATACTCAGTAGGACTAAACAAAGTTTTTAGTCTATGATATTAATTACGTTGAGGTGGACATATCAATTAACTATCAGAGTAGAAATCTTTTGGACCATATCAGTCTCATCAGGGTTCAAAGACATCAGCTGTTTTGGTCATATTTTGCGTTGTAGAAATGTCATACCTGTCTTGGTGTTTGGCATGATTATGAGCTCTTGTGGACAAGGACACAGATTGAGTTCTTAGGATGAGTCTGCGATATAGTTTTGCAATCTGAAATAGTATTAAAATTTTGCTTATACGTAAATTCGATGTAATCAAAGGAGTGTCACGACTTATGAGTCATGGTCATTCTTAAAAAGGTCACGTTTAATTTTAGAAACAGAAATGTAAATTGAATGTAATTCTTCACCAGGTTGTAAATATAATTCTAGAATTGTATATATAGGCCTGGTTTGCTAGAAAGGTTTGTGTTGTCAACAGATTTTATCATATGAAATATGGTATGATCGTACATTTTGGTACATTAAGGACAGACGAGACGTTCCTCAATAAAATATAATTTTTTCCAAGACTTTGTCATTGAAGAAATATTACTTTAACATGTTTAGTCACAAAAAATTGAGGTACCTTACCAGGCATTTGTGCAAGATACCAGATGATGGTATTTCTTATATAATCTTTTATGGAAAAAAATTTAGTTCGCCAGAATCACATGTTTAGAGTTTCAAATTTTTAAAAACAATTAGAAACAGGTTTAGAAATCAGAAAGTTGTTAAAATCTGTACAAAACAGAAATTTAGGAAACGTATTATCTGTGTGTGTGTGTGGGGGGGGGGGGGGGGGGAATAGCAAATCTTCAAATCAAGAAATTTAAATATGATAATATTATTTTCAGGGATGTCAATGTTCAAAGACAGGATAACCCTGCTTATATGCAGGACAAAAGGGGATATAGCTCTGAAAGTTGTCCTCACAACAATTGCATTCCAGGGATGGACCTCATTCAATTTCCCGTTCAGGAGAGGTTGTATTCTACAGTCAGCAGCAACTCGTCGTCATTTGCTATCGTTACTCCAGTGCTTGATTGCTAGCCAATCTGTTTCAAAAGAGGAAATATGACTACTGCTGATGCATAGAAAGAGAACGTTGTTTAATTTATCTTCATACAAAATATGTAGGCTAAAAGGCTTTGTAATATTTTATTAATATTGCTAGCGATGTATAGAATTTTTGAAATTGCAGATGAAAAAGAATATTATTTTTTTTTAACTTTCACTTTGCTTTTTTAATTTTTTTTAATGCATTATTATCTAATCGATGTTTTAAATTAAACTTGAATAAAGTCTTTTCCGGCACTTTACAAAATATATTACAAAATATATCATGCTTATTCAAAGCACAAATATACTTTTATTAAACCACAGATATACTTTTATTAAACCAACGAATTTCTCAAACATCGAATTTTTTATGACCGCTCACTTAAACATAAATAATGTAAGACTTTTTACTATAGATTTGTATAGAAACACATTTTAAAAAATAAGCCTTGATTTAGATGTACGAACACATTTTAAAGCTATTTTGGCCCAACAATTTTTTGGGAGTAAATATAGGTATTAAACTAAAGAATACTTTTTTTCTTAGTAATTTCACTGAAAAAATCACTTTTCACAGTCTCAAGTACTTGAAAATTAAAAGCATTCTTTTATGTTTTCGCAGTCGTCCAAGGTCAAAAATTTTTGTTGAGATATACAGCAATAAAATGCAACAAACATTCTAAAATTTAAGGATTTCCATCACTAATGGGAACAAATTCTCTACCCATAAATGTCCTTCATGTACATAATACTCTGATATTATATTAAAGCATTTTATAGTGGAAAAGGATTACCCGCGAGAAAGATTCAAAAATTTCATTTATTAAGCAGTAGTTAATTTAAAAAAGACTGCATTGAAGTCTATGGGAAAAAGCGGTTTTTCAAAATAAAAATTCAAATAATTTGAATATCCATAAATCCTGCGGTGGAAAGATGCATTGAATTATGAAAAATAGAAATTGAAAACATTTTTTTACAGGCTAAATTTCTTAAAATTGATTTTATTTTATTAATTAAAAATAGGGAGATAACGCTTACCAAAATTCAAGGTCATAAATCAGGACACACCCCTTTTTTCGGGCAGGTAAATTCTGATGGCGAAGTAGAGTTGGTTACAGAAAATTATATCATCTTCTCTACATTTCACTTCAAACACCGGTTCAAATTGAGCATGCCTGGACGTTTTGTAGATAAATATTAATCTCCAAATTGGATGGTTTCTCAATAACTGAAGACCATCCCATTTTTGGCAAATTTTGTCTAGTGTTCTGTTGGCAATATACACATAAACATAAATGTCCATCATTGTGCGAAGGGAAATATTTCTACAAATGTTCCCCAAATGCCAACTTTTTTAGCTCACCTGAGCTAAAAGCTCAAGTGAGCTTTTCTGATCACATTTTGTCCGGCGTCCGTCTGTCTGTCCTTCGTCTGTCTGTCTGTCTGTAAACTTTTCACATTTTTGACTTCTTCTCAAGAACCGCTGGGCCAATTTCAACCAAACTTGCCACAAAGTATCCTTGGGTAAAGGGGATTCTAGTTTGTTCAAATAAAGGGCCACGCCCCCATTCAAGGGGAGATAATTGGAAATAAATGAAAATTTGGTGGCATATTTCAAAAATCTTTTTCTCAAGAACCGTTGTGCCAGGAAAATTGAAAATTATGGAGAAACATCCTCAGGTAGTGTAGATTTAAGTTTGTTCAAATCATGACCCCTGGGAATAGGGCGGGGCACAATGGCGGACCAAAGTTTTGCATAGAAAAATATAGGAAAATTCTTTAAAAATCATCTTCTCGAGAATGACAAAGCCATAATTCATCATATTTATATGGACCCATGCTCAGGTAGTGTAGTTTCAAGTTTGTTCAAATCATGACCCCAGAGGGTAAGGCGGGGCCAAAATGGCCGACCAAAGTTTTACATAGAAATATATAGGAAAATTCTTTAAAAATCTTCTTCTCAAGAATGACAAAGCCATAATTCATCATATTTATATGGAAGCATGCTCAGGTAGTGTAGATTCAAATTTGTTCAAATCATGACCCCCCAGGGTAGGGCGGGGCCAAAATGGCCGACCAAAGTTTTACGTAGAAATATACTGAAAAATTCTTTAAAAATCTTCTTCTCAAGAATGACAAAGCCAGGAATTCATGATATTCATATGGAAGCATCCTCAGGTAGTGTAGTTTCAAGTTTGTTCAAATCATGACCCCCGGGGGTAGGGCGGGGCCAAAATGGCCGACCAAAGATTTACATAGAAATATATAGGAAAATTCTTTAAAAATCTTCTTCTCAAGAATGACAAAGCCATAATTCATCATATTTATATGGAAGCATGCTCAGATAGTGTAGATTCAAGTTTGTTCAAATCATGACCCCCAGGGGTAGGGCGGGGTCAAAAATGGCCGACCAAAGTTTTACATAGAAATATATAGGAAAATTCTTTAAAAATCTTCTTCTCAAGAATGACAAAGCCATAACTCATCATATTTATATGGAAGCATGCTCAAGTTGTGTAGTTTCAAATTTGTTCAAAACATGACCCCCAGGGGTAGGGCGGGGCCAAACTGGCCGACCAAAGTTTTCAAAGATATATATAGGAAAATTCTTTAAAAATCATTTTCTACAAAATAGCAAATCCATGATTGGTCATGGGACTACTTTTGGATTTAAACTTTACAATAAAAAACATTTTCTACTTTTTCCTACCCTTAGTGCTCAGTGAGCGATGTGGCCCATGGGCCTCTTGTTTTCATTTCTGACTGTCATTATATTGGTTTATACTTCTATCGGCGATTGAAGAAAATTTTGCGTTACGAAGTCTCATATATTCAAAAAAGTAGTTTCATACTATTATAAAATATGCTTGTGAGCCAAAAAGACTACTTAGTACTCGAAATAAACAATGACCATTTCGTTTCTTTGGAACCAATTTCAAGGATTTGACGTCATGATCATAGAACATTTCATGTATTCTAGGTTTTTCATGCAAGTTCTTAACATTAACACCGAAATGTTTTGCATATTTTGCTGCAATTTGCTATCCACCCACACGAATATTTTTTTAATAACTAGATTCTTATATTGTGGATATGTCACTGTATCCTCTCAACCATGTATCTTTAAAGCTCTCTGAGAAATCTTCATCATCTGTTGCTTGGTTTCTTTCCTTGTCAGATACATTATTACAAATATGTTTGGTTGTTCATCTTCTTTAAAGTGGTCTTGAGTTACTTCGTCCTTGTAATAAAGAATGGTGACATCGGTGTCACTTGAAGACCCCTCTGCCTTACTTTAGGATTCAGAGGATCTATTTTTTTCAGTCTGCCTCCGTTCAAGCCGAAAAAGTAAACTCATATACCATTTTTCTGCAATTTCGCATTAGTTATCTGACCAGTGTGGTCCTGACCGTTTCTTTTCAAGTTTTCGCCTTTTTTGCTGATTTTAATTGTATTGTGAAGAAGAACATTTTCTCCTTTCTTAAATCTCTCGTTAGAAACACTCCTGTCATTTTTACTTTTTCTGTGCTTCATATATGCTTTTTATCATTTATTTCGTTGTCTGCCTTGGTCCGTAATAAATATTTTTGTTACGCCATACGTGCAGACTTTGATAAAAACACTCTTTACTGATACCGCACTTTTTCAGGAATACCTTTTGCTTTAATCCATTTCCTCTGGACAAACTCTGTTTTTCTAATCCGTATTGTGGTTTTGTAGATATAGAGATAGTTCGCGAACTTTCTGATCACCCCTCGTAGATGTCCGTTTGTGTGTGTGTCCGCGAAAATTTTACACTTGCCCATAACTTTGATTTGTTGCACCTAAGGTTTTCAAATTCCAAATACTAGTAGGTATTTCTCGTGAAAAGACCTCTCTTTTCGTACCAAAATATTTGAACTTGAAGTCTGCTCCATCTTTACCAAACTTTTAGCCATCGCCATAATTTTTTAAGAAGATGACTTTGATATTTTCAAATATCTCCCTGGTGATCAGACCTTCCCTTGGCTACCAGCAATTTTTACCTTGACCGTTTAGTTTTTATGTGTGGGTTTGTTTAATTGTTTTTTGGTTTTTTTTTTTTTTGTAAAATAATTTTTACTTATAATTTTGGAGTGGTTGATGATTTCATGTTTCAAAAAGAGTATTACACTGAAACGACTATGCTAGGGCAATCATATTTCCTAGAAGTATTCCCTTCCATTGCATGGGTACCATTTAAATATTTTGATCCTTTAGCCTTGTCCTAATTTTTAATAATGCTCCGTAGTGAAGCTTAGAACGTTCATATTTCAAAAAAAAGTGACAAGGCTTTCTCTTGAGCAACATTTATTTTGACCTAAGCCTGGAAATTTTGACCTACTTTAGAAGAACAAATTAATTAACATGGCCAAAAATTTTAATCATTTGGTGGTAGTGCTTTCTAATTTCTCATTTGTATTCCTTTTAAAGATTTGTCTTTGGATACATTTTTTTTAATCGTTGAACTGATTTTTAATCTCAACTGAGCTGAGCTTTAATGCTCGAGTGTTTGAAGACTCGGAGGCAAATAGCGTTTGCTCTGTCCATCCGTTTGTGTGCTTGTCCACTAAACGTTAGTCTTGTCCTTAACTTTTGATTTGTAAGACCTATGGCTTTCATGTTTCGTGTTTATTTTCTGTAAGAGGGCCTTATATACAAGATCAAAGTCTTTGGTCTTATAACCTTGACGTTGGCGTTTGACCCATCTTTGCAATTTTTTCCCCAAATTTTAAAGTAGGTATTAACTTTTGAAAGATTGGTGCTAGGCCACTTATACGTCACTAGTGTATTTATAAGAAATACTTTCCTAGGAAAACAATATTTTCGAAAATCGTATCTTGACCTCGGAGTTTGACTCATGTTTTTTTAACATTGGGTTTAAATTTTGAATGGTTGGAACTTTCACGTTGTACAAAGTTACAAGATCTCACCTTGGGTACCAACATTTTAACCCCATGGTCTTGACCTTT